TCCCGCTGCGCCAGGGACCAGGCGGGACCCAGGCAGCAGCCGGAGCCCCGCGGTGGGTTGGGGCTGGGAGCGGGTGCTGCAAACCCTGCGCTGGCTACAGCCAAAAATCAGCATTTCTGCAGGGCAGGGAAGGGGGTTGTGCACTCACCTCCCGCCCCTCACCCTGCGCTCCGGCCACAGCCTCACAATTAGAGCCGGGAAATTTAAGGTCAGTAGTTGCAAGTCTGGAGCCGGATAAGGGGGGGATAACGGGGTCCAGCCGGCAGCCTGCGGGGGCCGGGGGCGGCGCAGGGCACAAGGAGACACATCGGGCACCGCAGGGAACCACGGACGGGAGCTGAAATAAGAGTATTATTGCAAATCTGTTAAGCTGCCGGCGCCAAGGAGGGATCGCGCTGGGGTCAGGCGCGGCCGGGGCCGTCCGGCTCCCACCAGCTGCGGGATGGGACGGGGACACGAAGGACCTCACAGGATGGCCCAGCTCGTGTCCCCTCTCGAGGCGAGATGCTGCCACCTCCCCCCGAGGTGGTGGCGGAGACTCGTCCTCCTTCCCGAAAGGAGACACCCCATGGGACACCCGATGCCACCGGACCCCCCCCGGCACGGCCCAGCGTGGCTCCCGCAGCTCCAGGTAACCCGAGCCGCCCTAACGCTCCGTCTCGCTTTTTAATTAGAGTTCAAGGAGTGTTTTTCCCTGTACGATAAGAAGCAGAAAGGCAAGATAAGGGCGGGCGACCTGCTGGTGGTGATGCGCAGCCTGGGCGCCAGCCCCACGCCCGGGGAGGTCCAGCGGCACCTGCACCTGCACAAGATCGGTGAGCGAAGCGGCCCCGGCACGAGCTCGGCCCCGCAACGCGGGTCCAGGGCTCCCCAAGAGGACGAGCCAGCTCCAGGGAGCGAACAGGAGCAGCTCCAGGCCCCGCGGGTTGTAAAAACCCAACTTCTCTGCGGTCCGGGGCCGGGAACGGCGAGGCCGGGAGGCCGCCTGCCGCATCCCTAAGGGACCCAACTGTTCCTTTTGCAGACAGAAACGCCGAACTGGATTTTTCCACTTTTCTGAATATAATGTACAGGCAAATGAAGCAGGAGGAGCCCGAGAGGGAGATCCTCACGGCCCTGTCCATGATAGACAGGCAGAGGAGCGGCTTCATCACGGCGGCGGAGCTGAGGGCCAAGCTCACCAGGCTGGGGGAGAAGCTCTCCGAGGAGGAAGGTACAAGGGCCCCATGCTCGGCCCGTTCCCCTGTTTTGAGCTGGTTCCAGAAGGATTTCTCCCTGTTTTTTTTTGCTCGGGGATGACTCACTCTTTTTAGGCATCCGTTCCACGAGGGTCTCCGGAGAGCTCCGATGTCCTCCGCTCTGGAGATGCCTCCAGCAGCGCACGGAGGGGCCCGATGAGTCCCCCAGTGCAACCAGAAGGACCCTGGCACAGAGCAGGGCTTCTCACTTGATTAAAACAACCCAAAGCCCAAAACAACAGAAAATCCACCCTTCCTCAGCAACGTCCCCACGGGGCCCAGCAGGAGGGGAGATGCCAAAAACCACCAGAACCCGATTTTGTCCCATTTTTGTTTCTATAGCTCTATGGCTAATTGAAGGCATCCCAGCAAAGGCTGCTGCCGCCCGGGCAGTGATTCCCACATCCCGCCGCAGCCGAGTGCCCCGCGGGCACCAATGCAGCGAGTTGTGTCGCTCCTCTGCGGCGCCCGGGCCGGCTCGCTCCGCGCTATCAATATTTCATGGCAGAACAGGGTCGATTTCACGGGCCCCGCGAGCGCCCGGGCACAGCAGGTCCAGAAAAGCTTTCACTTCGTTCTCATTTGAGGTCTTCCCTCCAAATGAGAAACAAGACATTTTCATTCCAAATTACTTTTAGCGTTCTGGGAAGAACTAATTATTTTTGCGTTTGTGCCCCAGGAAATACGCGATTCCCAGCAGGGTAACCCGGTTTGCAGAGCGGGATTGGGGCTCCTCAAGCAACGCGCCGCTCCTACCTCCATCCAATACGAGTCCTAGGAACGGGTTGTTCCTGGTGTGAACAACCACGGCCGTTCCAGGTGTCACATCCAGACCCTGGAAGCTCCCACGTCTCTTGGATCACAACACTCCTGCTGCACGGCAAAGCAAAATCATCTCTGCTCTATTTTACTCTTTCTTTCAGTGGATGACCTGCTAAAGGAAGCCAAAGTTGGACCAAACGGCACAATAAAATATGAAGAATTTGTCCGCACCATCAGCCTTCCAGCCCCCGACTACTGAAATTCAAAGCAAGGGATCTGGTACCAGCAGAAGCTCAACTTGGAGTTCGGGTTTCCTGCTCACTGGCTAGACTCAGGAATCATCACCTGCCTTTAAGATTCCATAGTCTGCCTTGACTTTGGCTTACAGATTCCCACCCCGTTTCCAGAAAAACGCTGTCACTTAGAAAATGTGAATTCTCGGTCACTTAAATAAACCGCATGCAACGTTCCTGTGTGTAAGATGCGTCGTGTTCACAAAACAACCGTCGTTAAAAAGTGCATTCCGGCACTTTTAAAAGATCACAGATCACAGGACAAAGCGTGACTTGTAGTTAATGTCACCCAGCGCCTGCGTCCCACAAAGGCAGCGAAACCCCCGCTCTGCTCCCACGCTCTGTTCCCAACGGCGGCGGTCGGGATCCTCCTCCCTGCACCAAGGCAGAGCTGGAGGAAACAGGCAGGAAAACTCGTGCTTGGGATCCCCATTCCGTAGGCTGGAGTGGGAGGGCAGGAGCAATGGGATTTCCCTCTCTTTCTGCTTACGATTTATTCCGCACGGCGCCTGCTCCCGCTTTGGAAAAGGCGGCATTTGCAGGAGCATCGTCACCGCTGCCCAGAACAGGGAAAAGCTGCGGCCGGGAGAACTCAGCTTCCCTGGAACAGAAAGGAAAAGCTGTTTCTCTCGACATGAAGCTCATTTAAACCAACACGACCCCAAACAGTGGCTGTCACCTCAGTTTAGCTATTGCCATCCTCCTCCGTGCACAGCTGCAGCAGCTGCAAACAGCCGGGACTGACTCGCACTCCGGCTCGTTTGGGAACTGAAAACGGAAGCGCAGGGAATCTTTGTGACCCTTCCGAGCTGGCAGCGAGATCTCTCCCGAGATGGGAATTATTCCCATGGGAAAACATTGCACGAGCAGAAACGCAGCTCGGATTCAGCCTTGGTGAACGCTCTGCAGGGAAGCTCAACTCCCACGTGAGCAATTCCCACCCTGGGCGATCCCATGTTTCCCTGGAAGCCCAAAGGGAAGCTCCAAGCAGGAACCCTCAGCTGGGAAAAACAGGGGAGCGAAAGAGAAGGGGCTCACCAGAAACCCCAGAACTGACTCCAGTTAGCACCAAAGCCACTATTTCCCTCACCGCCTTTTTGTCCCCATTCACAGTTAACCTCAAGCCAAAAAAAATAATATAAAAATTCCCAAAAAGACGGCCCCACGCGCAGCCCAGCTCTTCCCCTCGGCCGGATCCAACACGTTCCCGCTGGAAACGCTCGGAACGTCGCGGCTCACGAAGCCACCCCGCCGCCCGCTTCCTTTAAAACACACCACGTAACTGAATGCTTTTTATTACGTCTAAAGATTTCTACATAAACAGGTAACATTCAATAGGTAAACCATCTTTTTTTTTGTTTTTCCAATGCATATAATAAATATTTTCACTTGGTACTTTTATACAAACTGACATTGGTCTACTATACATTTTTAAAAGCCATTTATGGGTTTGGCATGCCATATGGAAACTAAGAGAAAGTTTTAAGGCAATGAATGACAGATTTAAATTCATGGAATTAATGGTTATTTTAATATTCTGCTTATATACATTTTCCCTTTGTTAATTAAAACAATTAACAGCAGCACTTTCGGGGACCACCAGCAAATTTCCCTTGTTAGAAATCTAAGCTCTGTTTAAAAAAGAAAACAAAAGAGAGAGAAACAGTCACACTGATAAAACAAAATCCTTCCCGAATGTATTTAAAAGTGTGCTTAAAACCCTGAAATGTTAAATTGCGGCACGGACTTAATTTTCAAGATCTCCTCCCAGTCTTTAGCTCTGCATTAGGAGGCAGCTCCAAGCCAGTCCAGTGGAAACCATCCCTTCCCATCCCATCCCATCCTCGGAAGGCCGGGTGAGCCCTGGCCATGGAGAGGAACGGGCTGGAATTGCCATACACCTGGAATTATGGAAGTACGGCCCAGCTAGGAATGCAGAGCACGGCTGGGAGCTCAGCAGGGCTTTTCTTCCCTTAAAAGATGCACCAATAATGCCCACGGGTGGCCCAAAGCCACTTCCACCCTGCTGCGGATCCCGGAGCACTGTCCTCCTTTCCGTATTTGCATTCCCGGACACACGCGCCCGCCCGCCCCTCCGGAGCGGGGATCCAAGGACGGGAAGGGTCGCCCGCTAATTTCGGGATTCCGGGAACGTTGTCACCCAGGGAATTCCGCAGGGCTGCAGGGCAGCCAAGCGCCGCCCTGCGGCCCTGCACGTCGGCAGGAACAGGCGAATGGAAAGGGATGGAGTTCGGGATTTACATTTGCAGGGAATTTCCGGAGAGCTCGGAGCGAGACTTCTACCAGGTAACGTTAACTGTGGTCAGAGGCACAGAGAGTCATCAGCTATAAAGAACATCTGAGTACGAAACATGGATACTCACAAAGCAGACGGGATTAACACCACAAAGGAGGATCTGGGAGCGTTTCCGTCCCGTCCCTGCAGGGCCACGAGGTTCGAACGTGACCAAGGTGAGCTGAAAAGCCTTCCTCCCCTTCCAGGCCCCTCGCGAGGAGGAGGAGGAGGACGTGGCCAGCTGGCCTCGCTTCCCGCGGGCCCAAGCAAAGGCCGCCGGGTGGCTGCCGCCCTTCCCATTCCCAAGGGAATTACGGTCGGAATGCCGCTGCCAAAGCCCCCGGGAGCAGCTTTTCAGCTCACCCGACGCCCAGGTGGCCGCGGTGGCCGGCGAGGTGGCCACGAGCTCGGCAGAGCCCCCCGGCAGCGCTCCGGGACCAGCGGAGCCGCAGCGAATCACCCGGCTGTTCTTCATGACTAAAAGGTATGAGATATATTCCTAATGTAGGTTTAATCACTTCAAAATCAGACTGAGTTTAAAAAATAAGTATTTCCCATTTTCTATCCTTTTATTTATTTTTTTAACTGACATTTAATAAATTATAAAATTGGTGTATGGTGAAATATATATATATATATATCAGCCAGATATGTATGAAATACACATGCATGGGAAAAACTATTTAACTCACTTTTAACTCACACACACAGATCTATAAATACATATATACACACACATATACATATAAACACAAACATTTGTTTCCAAAATTCAAGTCAACTATATAGTGGCAGAGTGATGCTGTAAAAACACTAAAAACAATTTTGATGCCACATATTCATGTGAACCTTTCAAATAACCATACAACTGATCATACAGCAATACCTAATGCTACTTGGATAAAGTTTTTTTTTCTTTTTTCTTTTTTTTTTTCTTTTTTAATCAATGCAAGATTTTGAGACAACTTCATAGGCAAAAGGTGGCCCTTGTCAATGCTCAAAGCAACTAGCTGCTATCAATAGTTTGGACATTAAAAATTCAGACAAGAATCTGCCTTTTTTTTTTTTTTTTTCCTTACTATCTTTCCTGATAAACTTGTTACCTGCACTTTCAACCAGTTAAAAAAATATTTTTCACACCAGAGGAAATATTTACTCTCTCTGACATGGACTTTGGGACACAAGAGAATCACCTCCTTCTCTCCCCCTACTCTTAACTTTAAAGAATCTCCTGAAAAAATGCATTCCAGCTATTTACACAATTCACTCTTTAACAAGGATGGATCAGCCCAAATGACCCATCAGTTTAAAAAAAAAAAAAAAAAAAAAAGATTTTCCTATGTCATGCACAACTTCAAAAAATGAGAAAAGAAACCAGGAAGCAAGTATGACTCAAAGTTCAACATAAACATACTGCAAAACAGGGAAATCGATCAAAATACTTAAAAGGCCAAAAAGAAGAAACTGAATTTGAAACCCATTACTTCAGTAGGTAGAGATTCACCTCAGTGCATGGGCCCCGGCGCTGTTTTATCGGGTTGGTTTTTGGTTTAAGACACTCGCATTGAACACTAACTATTAACTTAGCTTTGATGAATGTGAAGTCAGGACCAGTAGTATCAGCTGCACAATCCATGCAAATGTACGTTGGCATCGCTATTTTCTTCCTTTTGTTGAACAAGTTCACTTTTAAGCAGAAATTGGATCTACTGCAACTAAAAGGAGGTTTTCCCAGACAGAAGAAGGAAGGCCTCAGTTCAATGGGCCGCTTACATACGCATGGCTAAATTTAAAGCACAAGCAGTTCCACAAATTTAAAACTGACACATGCTTAATATTTTGCTGATTAGGACCTTAAGTTATTTTAATAGGATTTCATAGTAAGTTATTAGAAACAAAAACCTACAGTCAAACGTGTCAATGCTTTTATTTGGGGCTAGAGCCTATAAAAATTCTCCGTCTTGTCTCGCACAAGTGCAGCCAAACAATTGCTCAGCCTAGGATTTTATTGAGTCTGGCCCACAAGGATAATTGGTGCACTAATGAGCTTACAACATGCTTGATTAAAGCATGTAATTAAAAAAAAAAAAAGTCACTCCTGAAAGGGTATATGTCCTGCAAACAGAGGGAATGCTGTGGAACAGGGTAGGGTTTGTTCCACTTTAAGTGTAAAAAAAATCTGCACTAAAAATGGGATGGGGGAATTAGATTCCACCACCAAAGGTAAATGTCTCCGAGAGGAGAAAAAACCTCCTACAAGTTAGAACTTTAAAAGTTCAGTTCCTTTCCCATTTATGTTACACTGTGAAGAAAATAATGCCATTTGTGTCCACACTAAGGAAAGAAAAAAAAAGAAAAAAAAAAAAAAAAGGAACTCACATGACAAATGCACAGGTGTAAAGTCTTCAGTGTCCATAAACTGAAGTTTCTTTTTTTGTTGTTTTTGTTATTTTTTGTTTTGTGATTTTTTTTTGTTATTTTTACCAGTGAGGCCATCTTAGGTTTATATACAAAAGTAAAACTGAAAATATAGTTTTGTTCTCTGTACACGTAAATTTTTTTCCCTAAAAAAGGAAAAAAACTTGTCTATGTTTCTAAACATAATAAGGTAAAACCAAGCACAAAGATCTCCTCTGACAAGTTCGTTCACTCCGAAACTCAGTCCAATGA